TTTAACCATAAAATGAATTATTTGTTGAAAGAGCATTCAAAGTAGCCACGAAAGCAATTAGAATGCTCGCGCGGAGTTACGCGGAGATATAAAAGAACGCACCCTTTATTACATTTTATGTTGTACGACGGTTTTACCCAATTCCCGAACAGTGTTAGAGTGAACCCGTGCTATAAAAGCACCGTGTTATACGGGGGATGTTCCCAATTTTTGAACCGTGTTAGAGTGAATCCGTGCTATAGAAGTGTGTGTTATACGGGGGTTACCTGTATATATTTTTTGCAAATGAAGTAAATAAAATGAGGACTGCAAAAAAATAAAACAGCAGCTAAAATGGCCTTAATAAGAATGATAGTGATCTGCAGGACCTGAAAAATAGTTCCGAATATTGGGAATCCATTACCTAAAATGAGTTTTCTAATAAATTTCCTATACTTTGGCCAGACTGACATCAGCTGTCCATAATATCAAACTTTACTGTACACATTAGATTTGTATTTTGAGTGATCATATTAGTTTTTAAATCATGACCAAAACCAAATGTTCCCAAAATAGACAATACTACTACCTGGGTGGCAGTGGTATTATTGATTGTGGGTTTGCCCCGGCCATAATAGAGGTTCTGGATGCTAAGAACAAGACCTGATATATCAGAGGCAGACTGACAAGAAAATTGATGTTGCTTTCCTGGATTTTCTGGTTCTGGTTCTTTTAGAGACTTCTTAAACCTTCCTTATCTTGTTCAACACCCTTTTATTTGCTTATAGGAGGATCATCCCCTAATAACCTTTATGCCTATATACTGGTATATTGATATATACAGGTTTAAAAATCAAATAGACTGCTGAATGCTGGTTAAATATATAATAAACATTTAACTCAATAAACTAAAAGCAGCAAAATTGAAAGTGGATAAAAACATTTGCTTGATAAGTGAGTGACAGTTTTGTTGGTTGTTAGGTTACCACTTCAGAGCAGATTATTTAAAATACTGACTGATAAACTTGATGCTGAGTATGGAACTTTAATGTTACATTCTGAAGTTAGATGGCTTAGTAAGGGAAAAGTCTTACAAAGATTTGTAGATCTTCTACCAGAGATAAAACTGTTTGTAGAATCCAGAAACGAAACTTATGAAGAACTTAATGATTATGGCTGGTTATCAGATTTATCCTTTCTTACTGATACAACAGCCAAAATGAATAAACTCAATCTTGAACTTGAAGGGGAACAAAGAACTCTTTTTCAATTAATAGGAAGTGTAAATGCATTTCAGTCAAAATTAAATTTGTGGATATCCCAAATTAAAGGATGTAACTTCAGCCATTTTCCAAATTTACAGAATTATATTCATAAATATAAGAAAATTGAATCAGATAAATATTCTGAAAATCTTGCTGAACTTAAAAATAATTTCGAAATTAGATTTTCTGATTTTCGTAAAATTCATCCAATTGTTTCATTCATTTTAAATCCATTTGTTGATATTAATATTTCTGAAATATCGCAAAAAATTGCAAGTATATTGAATAAAAATGTCAGTATTTTAGAAATGGAAATAATTGATTTTCAATCTGACCTACAATTAAAAGCAAGAGTATCACAAACTGATTTTTGGACACTTGTGGATGAGAGAAAATATCCACTTGTAAAGGAAACTTTTCAAAGGTTAAACTCCCGCTTTGGATCAACTTACCTTTGTGAAAGTGGATTTTCGACAATGAAATTTTTAAAATCAAAGTTCAGATCCAGAATGACGAATGAGCATCTAAATGATTGTATGACTCTTGCTGTAACACCTTACGTACCAGAGTACAATAAACTGGCAGAAGACATGCAATGTCAGTCTTCACACTGATTATTAATAAATAAGTTTTGTTTGTCCTGTATCATATTTAATTTGTAGTAGATTAGTAGTAGTGTAATATTATTGTGTATTCTTTTACCTATTGTCGCTGAATTTTTCAAGAAAAAGGTCGTCGTCCTATGTGTGGCTCGCCTAAAATTTTTAAACTCTTAATTTGCTACAAGTAGACTAAAGGTTGGGCACCGCTGTCATATACATTTGCACTGTTAATAAATACTTGCTTATTTTTGAATGCATTGGAAATTCAGAATTATATAGTATTACAAGAGGATCTTAATTGGTGTTTCTTATATTCTTATAAATCAACAATGTCATCTAAACAAAACAACTATAGTTAAAATATGTGAAAAAACTACAGGAAATGAAAGACAAAATTAAAGCTCTAAGGAAGAAATTCAGCAGCTCCTGACACACTTTCATTGTAAATGAATATTATAAGTTATATGAAGGAAAAGAGAGAGATTATAAATGTGGCAGCAAAATATCTTTATATGAAAATGTATTTTCATTTTGTAAACAGTGTTTAAGTATTGTTTTAAAGAAATTTTGAAAATATTTCAGTTTCTTAATTTATTTTTTAAAAATGAAGAAATATAAACTGCATTGTCT